TTGATTATGGTTACACAGCTCTGTAAACATACTTAAAACATTGACTTGTATCTTCAAATGGTTGAAACACAGCATTTGAAGTATAAAAAAGTCAAAACATCAGCAGAACACCAGTAGTTCATACCTGTTAATTCTCACTTCCCAGAAGGCTGAGATCTGAGGATCATGTTTCCAAGCTAGTCCAGGCAGGAAAAACCGTGAGATTTTTCCCTCCACATATTCACCAAAAATCCAGAAGTGGAGGTGTGGATCAATGGTAGAGCTCTAGCATTGAGAAAATAATGCTAGGAGAGAGAGCCTAAGTCCTAGATTCAAGCCCTAAGACTGGCACACACACACACACACACACACACACACACACACACACACACACACTGGTCAAAACTTCATCAATAAATTATTTCAATCACAAAATAGCTAAATGCTCAAAAGAAAGTGGTAGCAAAACAAATTATGTTCTATCATATAAACAAATATAAATACCCACCATAAATCATGTTTTGTTTTGTTTTTTGTTTTTTGACCCACAATAAATCATGTTTTGTTTTGTTTTTTTGTTTTTTGTCAGTCGTGGGACTTGAACTCTGGTCCTGAGTGCTGTCCCTGAGCTCTTCAGTTCAAGGCTAGCACTCTAACACTTGAGCCACAGCGTCACTTCTGTTTTTCTTGTCATTAATTGGAAATCAGAGTCTCATGGACTTTCCTGATTGGCTGGCTTTGAATCGTGATCCTCAGAGCTCAGCCTCCTAAGTAGCTAGGATTACAAGCATGAGCCACCAACACCAGGCCACAAAGTTTTGATTAGTAATTAAGACACAGAAATCTTATGCTGTAATATACATATATATTATTTTTTAGACAAGTTCTTGCTATTTAGCCAAGACTGTTATGATCTCCTGCCTCCATCTTCTAAGTGCTGACATTATAGCTATGAACTACTGTACCTGACTGCTTATACTGTAATCTTAAGAGAAAAGCAGGAAGATAAAATCTGCACTTAGACTTGCATGTACAATACAAACAAAAAATGTTATAAAAGGGAACCTGAAGTCAGTGGAAATGTTTCTTTCCTTCTCTTTTTCTATCATTCCTATATTTTATACACTGCATTCTTATTGGTTATCAAAGAAATTTTAAAATCTGTTTTCAAAACTTATTGAGATTTATACTCTAAGATCTGGTTTGAGAAGGGTAGGACACAAAGTCAAATGTCAATAGCCACATAACACACACATGCATACACACACACACACACACACACACACACACACACACATACACACACACACTCAAAAGACTGTTCAAAAATCAAAGGTTCAGCATGGTGGAATATCCCCGAATCCCAGCTACAGGGCAGATAGATATACAAGGGTTGCAGTTTGAAGCCAACCTGGATTTTAAAAAAATGTTAGTAAGACACTATCTCAAAAGCAAACCAAGTGTGGTGATTCTTCGCTATAACCCCAGCTATGTGGGGAGCACAGGCAGGAGGAAGGTCCAAGGCCAATATGAACCAAAGATCCTATCCCCCCAAAATAACTAAAACAAAAATGGAGATGTGGCTCAAATAGTAGAGTGCTTGACTGTGAGGTCCTGAATACAAAACCTCAGTACCACTGAAAAATAAAAAAAAACTGAGGAATTTATTTCACAACTTGGTTTCTGTTCTATAACTTGTAGAGGATTGGAGCTTCTCTTCATACCCCTAGAGCAGTCATCAGCCTGGCCCAAATCACCCAGGGTGAATAGTGAGTATAGTCTTTGGCCTCAGAAACAGAGGAACCTGATTAAAATCATGCTGGCCCCAGCATGACCATCTTTGGCTTTCTCTGGCAAGTGCTGGCTTCAGAAGTTTTTGAAGTGGGACCCTCTGATTTCTATTCCTAGGAGCAAGCAGGGGATCACATTCCAGGGAGCTCTCCCAGTAATAGCTCCTAGTGTCTTTCTGAGCAGCAGTCCATAATCACCTCATTTCCCTGCTCCTTGTGTTGTCCAAAGGACTCTCCAGCCTTTGGCATCCTGAGAGGGACCACAGATGGAAAGTTGGAAAGATGCAGGCTGAACTGCTGATCACAATGGTAAGCTTCTGATTTTGTTCACCACAATCTCAAGGGCTCTGAAGATAACAGAGTCAGGTGAGAAACAAAAAGCCCAATACTCTTCCACAGAAATAAAGGTCAGCACAATTTGGCAGACCTCCCTGTTCTGAATGATTCCCAGACCGTGACAAATTTGGAAAGTCATTAGTATTGAAATCCAGATATGTGGGCCTGGCTATAAAAGCCTGACCTCTCCTTTTGTCCATGATATGTCAAAGTAAAGAAGATAGAGTTCATTGTGTTAGTCAGTCGTCTGTCACCGTGACAAAATACTTGAATCAACTTATAAAGAGGGAAGGTTGATGTTGGCTCACCATTTTAGAGGTGAGGTTGATTGGCCCACTGATTTTAGCCTGTGGTGAACCATCATGGCCAGAGGATTGAGGAAGCTGCTCACCTCATGACCAATGACATGCAAAGACAGAGAGGAGAAGAAGCCAGCTTCCCACAATCCTCTTCAAAGTCATGTCCCCAGTGACTTAACTCCCTCCATTCAAGTACCAATTTATCATGTACCTATTTATCATGTACTAATTCCAAATACTGCCACAGGCTGGAGATTAAACTTTTAGAAGACAAGCTTGGGGGACACTTACCAAACCATAGCAGGAGTACAGTGTTCATTTCTTACCATTACTGTCAATGAAATACCCATAGCTCCAGTAGTGACCTACTCTTATGTTGTAGCCTAATTACATGTAAAGAAGATAATCCAGATCTAAACCCCAGCATTGCTCACACTGGCCAGGTGAAGCTTCACAAGTTACTAATCTTTCTGTCATTATCCTCTCATCTGTAAAATGAAGGAAGTATAATATACTTCTTCAATTATCATGAGGTTTGGAATAGTCCCTGACTATGACTAATGTTCAACAAATGTTAGCTATTACATGCCAAGGATGATGGGGATAAAGATTTTTAAGGGAAGCCAGGCACTAGTAGCTCACAAAGGTAATCCTAGCTACTCAGGGGGCTGAGATCTGAGGCTTGCAATTCGATGCCAGCACAGGCAGGAAGTCTGTGAGACTCATCTCCAATAAACTATGCAGGAAAAAAAAAAGCAGCAATGGTGATGTGGCTCAAGTGCTAGAATGCTAGTCTTGAGCAAAAGAACCTCAGGGACAGCGCACAGGCCCAGAGTTCAAGCCCCAAGACCAGCCAAAAAAAAAAAATTAAGCCAAACCAACACCTTGGGGACTTCCTCTAGTGTGTCACGCAGCTTTCTAGTGTATGACAAATGCTCAAAATCAGTAACTCAAAGGGAGAAAAGGTTTAGTTTGTGTCATGTTTTCAGTGGGTTCAATCCATGGTCAACTGGCAAATTGTTCTTGGGTCTGTGCCAGTGAGGGAAACCTGTAGTGAATCAAAGATAGTAGTCAGGGAGCAAAGTGCGGGGGGCGGGGGGGGGGGGGGGGAGGGCAGGAAAGGATTTCTCCCTAATGAAGTACTTCCTCCAACTAAGTCTCACCTCCTAAAGTTTCTCCTAAAGCCTCTCATCTCCTAAAGATTTCCTTCCCTTCCAACCAAATTATCAGCTGAGGACAAAGACTTCATCATATAAGCTTGGAGGGACATTGAAGGCCTACACCAGGACTATGAAGAAATTCCTTCATACTTTAGACACTCTCAAGAAGCAAATTGGACCAGCACTCAAATCAGCGGAGGAATAAAAGACTCCTGTGTCACTTAAGTAGAAATCCATTCCAGCTACACATTCTTTTTCTTCTCTAAGCTGTTGAGAGTGGAAGTTCTTTCTCAAAAGCAACTTTATCAGGTTTGTTATGCTCTCCAGCATAACAAAACTCAATTATGCAGAAAGGCCACATAATTCATCATAACTGACATATACTAGGACAACTATTTATACTTAGATTAGTGTAGGATACTGTATATTCCAAAGAGAGCCAGGACAATCTCATTACATACATATATATATATAATTTTTTTGATTGGTCATGGGGCTTGAACTCTGGGCTTAGGTGCTGTCCCTGAGCTCTTCAACTCAAGGTGAGCACTCTACCACTTGAGCCACAGCAGCACTTCCAGTTTTCTGGTAGTTAATTGGAGATAAAAGGTTCATGGATTTTCCTTCCCGGGCTGGCTTTGAACCATGGTCCTCAGATCTCAGCCTCTTAAGTAGCTAGGATTACAGGTGTGAGCCACCAGTGTCTGGCTCTTATTATATTTTTGATATTCCTTAGCAGTCAGCTTTGCATCTCATTGAATGTGAGAGGACTTAGACAAGATGTAATGGGACTCTCAAGGCTGTCATAGTCTCTGATTTTCTTTGCGATGCTTATGCATGGAACCCAGCCACCATGCTGTGAGGAAGTCCAAGCAGCCACAGAGAGAGGCAACATTCAGGTGCTCCATCTGGCAGCCACAATGGGTGTCCCAGCCAGCAATTCCCTCAAAAGTGGGACATACAACTACCTAGCCTTCAGAAGATTCTAGCCCTAGGACTGGACACACCATCCCATGTGTCCCAACAACCCAAGACTTACAGACTTACAAAATCTCATTTCTATAGTTATCAACTCTTGCCACAGATTCTTCTATATCTTTACAATCTTATACAAAACCATAAATATAACAAAAATAGATAAATCTGATGCTACATTTATGGAGATAAAGAGAAGGAGGCACATAGCTGTTGTCTTATGCTTTCCCCTATCCGGTTTCCGGGGTCTCTGAGGAACCCAGTTTGAGACACTGTGCATGCTTTAGAACTACTGAAGCCTCGGCAAGCTCACATAGTCATTTCACTTGTGACTTTTACCCACAGGTATAAAAGTAACCGACCACGTATGAATATTCTCAATATTCTAAGAATCAGAGGTTTCTTCTCAGCACATTTATTTAACAAGCCTACAACTATAGAAATTCTTCATATGTCACCCATAGATACCCTCTTCCCCTCCTGCATGAAGCCTTTAAAACTGCTTGCATAGCACCTATTTTTACACAACAGCTTTTCAAAAAAATCTCTAGACGAGTATGGTGGGAAACAATGTGTATTTGAAATGCTGTGTTCATGACACAGGCCTTCTCCAGCTTTGGGCAGATGAAGGTGTAGGCCTGCTCCTCTGGTCCGGGTAGTCACTAGGATCTTGGTAAAGAAGAGGATGGGTTCCAGGCCAGCTGGCGTTGCATTAGCTGCTGCTGGTATTTTTCTTCAAGTAGTGTGTGTAGTGCGTCAGAAGCATCCTCTGGAAGGTGCCACTATAAAAGGCCCAGGATGGAATCAGGTTCAGGAGGCCCGCCTTCAACAGACAAAAGCACAAGTGTGGATGAGAAAAGCCTCACAAAGAAACTACAACTGAAACAAATCAGTGTATATTCATTGTTTTTAGGAAGTGTCTTTTGTGAAAAATGGATAGAGCTGGAGATAATGTTGAGTGAGAGAAGACAAGTTCAAGAAGCCAAATATCACGTTTTCACTCATTTGTGAAATCTAGATCTAAAAGATATATATGATGAAGATAAATAGATAGATAATATATGCATACATACATAGAATGTGATTATAACTTGAGCCTGTGGACAAGGAAGAGGGAAAGAGAATGATGACAAATGATTAAGACAGAAATACAATGTGCTACGTGTGAATATTGCATAAGGAAACACAGAAAGCTGGTGAATAATAGGGAAAGAGAGAGCAATAAGGGGGGATGTACGCGTACATTTGCATGGTGCACATGTACTGGTCCTAGGGCTTGAACTTAGGGCCTAGGTGTGCCCTGAGCTTTTTACTTAAGCCTAAAGCCATAGCTCCATTTCCAGCTTTGTGGTGGTTAATTGGAGATAAGGGTCTTAGAGACTTTCTTGCCTGTGCTGGCTTTCAACTGCAATCCTCAGATCTTAGTCTCCTGTCTACCAAGGATTACAGGTATAAGCTAGAGGGATCATTTTATCTGATTAAAACGTTATATGTGTAGGTATGAAATACTGTAGTCAAAACTTTGTGCAATTAATCTACACTAAAAATTGAATGACAAGAAAGTAAAACAGAATCTGTGTTTGAGGCAGTTACCAGTGGGAAGGTACCAATGCAGAGGGTGAATGAGGATAAATGTGATGAAGCAGGAGACAATTTCTTTCTCCTAGCCTGTTCTTGGTATCTATTTACTTGAAGAGATCAGAATTTGTTATTAAAAAATCAAAAGAGAAGAAAAATGTCAGCCAGGCATTGGTGGCTCACGCCTATAATCCTAACTACTCAGGAGGCTGAGATCTGAGGATCACAGTTCAAAGCCAGCCTGGGCAGGAAAGTCCATGAGACTCTTATCTCTAATTAACCACCAGAAAACCGGAAGCGGCACTGTGGCTCAAGTGGTAGAGAGCTCATGTTGAGCTAAAGAGCTCAGCGACAGTGCCTAGGCCCAGAGTTCAAGCCCCATGACTGACAGGGAAAAAAAATCAAGAAAGTGCTCAACTTTGGACATATGAAGTTGGATCATGCAGCAAATCATGCAGGAACAGTCTTCCAAGCTACTTCTGTCTCAAGAACACATTTTAGAGATGTGACACATTCCATTTAAAATGTCAGCATCATAGAAGACCACAGTAACAGAACTGTTGGGAAGGTAAAGGGGATGTTACACCTAGTGGATAGTTAATCCTGGAGATGGACAGGCTATGACACCAGGTCCATATAAGGAAATCTATGTGTTTTTTGCCCTGGAGATGGTGAGGCCCTGAGTTCAGTAGCACCAATACCATTAGTCAAGTTCATAATAAAGCTATTGCTGTATGGGGGAAAAAAAGGAAGGAAGGAACAAGAAAAGGAGGGAGGGAGAGAAAGAAGAAGGAAGGGAGGAAGGAAGGGAGTAAAGAAAAACAAGTTTAAATGGTTCAAGCTGCTTGAGGCTCTGAGTTCAACCCCAATATCCCCCCTCACACACAAAAACTTCATATATCATATGTTCTTGACCTTATTTCCATATTTAATAGAGTTTAAGAAGTGCTAGATCTATCTGGTTGATGCTTGCTCACAAAAACTGGCTATAAGCTCCTCTCCAGTTTATAGGCAGTGACATCATCTTGGTGGCTAAAATTAAGTTTTCGTGGGTATGTTTGCACCAAGAAACAACTCAAAGTGGTCTTGTTCTTTTTTTCCTATGTGCTATGGTTGAGAGTGGACTGTCTACCCCAAAGCCTCATGGGCTGGAGACTTGGTTCTGGGGTGATTAGATCATGAGGATTAATGAAGTCATTGCTGAATGGACTGCTAGGAGACTGGGTCTAGTTAGAGGAAATGGGTCATGAGGTACATCTTGGAAGGGGTATGTCTTTCCCCAGACCCATCCTCATTCTTGGCTTTCTGGCTACCAGGAGCTAAGCAGCTGTACTTCAATATATGTTCCCTGCCATGATGCTCTGCCTCACCTTTGGCCCCAAAACAATGAAGCCAACCCACTATGGACTGAAACCTTTGAAAGATTAAGACAAAATAAATCTTTCTTCCATTAAATTGTTTATCTCAGGTATTTTGTTGCAACAATAGAAAAACTGACTCACATACCCTGGATGGCCAATACTTAAATGTTTATTAGAAGGGACAGCCAAGCAAGACAGCACCCAGATGTATTGGTCTTTCCTACCCAAGAGATTCTGGGAACCACTTTCTGTTCTAAGGGAGAAGTGAGGCCATCAGGAAGTTTTAGGGTTATCTCCAGGCTGGTACACAGGCTTAATGCTTCCCCTCTAAATTCACTGGGTCTTCCACTCGCAAGAAGAGCCATGCCCTTCAGGGGCTGTCTGCCCATCTCGCAGTCATTCTTTAAGAAAAGAAGAAGTTACTGATTACCAAAATCTCATGCACAAGGCAGCCACAGATTTCATCTCCAATCGTGACATAATTCAGTGATTCTTTAACGAAGTCATCAGCACTCTTGGTTATTATGTTGGTATTGAGATACTTTGTCATTGGGGTTGAAACAGCATATGGAGTCAGCACCTATAATTCAAAATAAAGACTAAAAAGCTGGGCATTGGTGGCTTGCACAGGCTTCTATCTAAGGATCTCAATTTGAACCCAGCCTTGTTTTTTAAAAAAAGTTTGTGAGACTCATATCTCCAATTAACTAACAAAATGCCAGAAGTACAGATGTGGCTCAAGTGGTAGTGTGCCAGACTTGAGAGAAAAAGCCAAGAGATCATGAGGCCCTGATTTCAAGTCCCATTACTGGCACAAAGAAGGGAAAAAATAAATTAAATAAAGACTCCATCCCAAGAAGGCTGAGAATTAACATTTGTTTTCCCAACCATCATCTTCAAACTCCTTGCTTTCTGTAAAAAGTTTTGAGAGCCCAGTTGATACAAGGCACTGAACTGATTTGCTTTCTCAAGACAAGGCCTGAACCATATACCAGGTTGCTCAAATATTCTTCCAAGCACTCCAAAGGACTGAGAGACTTGGTAAATAAGAATATAAAATGCCAGTTACAGTCCAAGTTCAGACAAAAAATTATGCCATAATTATGTCTCAAGTATAACACAGAATGGACTTGTGCTAAAAATATTACCCAGCTGGGTAATAGTGGCACATGCCTGTAATCTTATCACTCAGAAGCAGATGCAGGAGGATCATGAGTTCTAGGCTAACCTGCACTACATGACACAACTCTATCTCAAAGACAGAAATTATTCGTATTAATCTAAAAATATAACTTGGCTAGTGCCAGTGGCTCATACCTATAATCCTAGCTACTCAGGAGGATGAGATCTGAAGATCACAGTTCAAAGCTATCTCAGGCAGGAAAGTCTGCAAGTCTCTTATCTCCAACAAACTACTCAGAAAAAAATGGAAGTGGTGCTGTGGCTCAAGTGGTAGAGTGCTAGCCTTGAGCAAAAGAAGCTCAGCAACAGCTCTCAGGTCCAGGGTTCAAGCACAGGCTTGGCAAATAAAGAAACAAATATATACACACTCATATACATATATATATATGTATATATATATATATATATATATATAAACTGGATGTACTATGATTAATCTGGCAATCCCATAACTTTGTTTCTAAACCTCATAAACAAAGAATAACTTAAAGCACTCTGGCCTTTCACGTTCATACCCTGTCTGGTGCACATATATCACTTTTCCTGCTCTGAGAAGAAAAATAAACAACTACACACTGTGTTCTGCCAACACTGGCACTGGAATGTGGCTCAAGTGATAGCAGCCTTGCCTAGAGAACATGAGTCCTTCAACTCCCCAGGACCATAGAGAGAAAGAGAGAGAAAGTAACAAAACTGGGAGGTGTAGCTCAGAGGAAGAGCAACTTCCTGGCAAGCAAAATTCCTCACAAATAAAATAAAATTTAAATCTAAAATGATATAAACCATAATAACAACAAAATAAAGTAGAACATGATTGGGGGCTACAGGCATAGTTCAAGTGCTATAGAATACCAGCCATGAACAAGAAAGCTAAGTGACTAAGCAAGCAAGCTAAGCAAGTATGAGACCCTGACTTCAAATCCCAGGACTGCCCTTGCCCAAAGAAACAAAAAGAGCAAAACAAAACAAACAACAAAAATAAACCACGTTGCTCCTATTTGTGGCTAACCATACACAATGGTTGAGCCCAAGGACTCTAATGTTCTTTCATTCTGCTTTAACTTGGGTGGCGCTGGGGTCTGAGCTCAGTCCTTTGCTCTTGGCAGGCACTCTACCACGTGAGCCATGCACTGAGCCCCCCTAATGGGATTTTATTAATTTATTCTCAGATACAGAAACTTTAGTATCTTTAGGAAGAAAATTATCTGTGCTAGTTTTCTTACTTTCATTTTTCTCCACATCATATTGGAAATTCCACTGTTTTACAGTGAAATCCAATTTTGACTTATGACTCATAAGTCAGTCAATTGATGGAATTGGACTGGTCATTATGGGAACTAATACTATGATTGATTTGCCTAATACTTTCTCCTCCTTGCCCCAAAGCATCTTCAAGTGTTACTCTTGGACAGAATTCTCAACTCAGTTTCAAAGAAGGAACTATAGGACATATTTAGATACCTATCTATGAATTTTAACAAAACATGTTTCTGTATAAAATAAGAGCTCAATAAATATGGTTTAAACTTGTATATTTAGTCATGATGATCTTCATGATCATATGTTCTTCATGATCATCCTAAGATGGAGTGAGGCATAATGAACTCACTTTATGGATGGGGAAACTGAGGCTCAGGGAGTTTAAGCAAGTTGTCATCCAAATCACTTAGGTGGCAAGTGATGGAACTGAGATGAAATTCAAATCCAAGCCTGTGACCTACACATCCTTATTCATCTTTCAGATATTTGTTGATCACTATGCACATGTTTAGAGGAGATAATTAGGTTTTGAAAGGTCAAGGCCATTCTAATTTTCATAGTTATTTGAACCATTCCAAGACCTCTGTACCAGGAAAGGACCCTTTATTCTCTTTCATCTCCACCTCCATCCTGTGGCCTCCTAGTATCCACTGCCTAGACAGCCACTGTATTTCTTGCCCACCATGATGAAGATGAAGATGGACCAGGGTGTCACATAGTCAGGATGTGGTGACTAAGGTAGCCATTCATATTTAAAAATCACCAAGGCATTCTGGTTCTTTCTTTTTCCAGCACACAATAGGATTGCATTTCCCCAAAACCTCTGTGAGGAGTGGGACCATGTGACTAGATCTAGCCAATGAGTTATGAGCAGAACCATGTGTCATTCTTGGCCAGAAATTCATTGGCAAAGTATAATCCTGTCAAACTCCAGCTACTTCTTAAAATCAAATATCTCTACTGACAATGTTCAAGATGGGGTCTCTAATCACTATAATGAGGTCTTTTTTTCTTTTTTGTCAGAGACAGGGGCTCCAACTGGGTACCTGATGCTCTCAAACTCAGTACCTGATTTCCTAGCACTCTACTAATGCCTCCAACCCCAAGCTCATGTCTTTTGTCAGTTCATCATAAGCATGCAAAATTATATTTTGCTTTTTTTACGCTCCAGAGATTGTTTGTTTTTTTGTTTCTTTGCTTTAAAAAAAACTGCAGCAATCTTAGCATGAGCTGAGTAGCAGTTACAAAAGGGAAGTCCCCATGGAAGGAGAAAAAGACCTCTGATGGTGATGTGTTCAATAGGGTATTAAAAGGGACTGTGGTGAGACAGCTGAGGCAGGAAATAGTGACTCACTGCCAGTAGTTGGTGGCTCATACCTGTAATCCTTCCTACTCAGGAGGCTGAAATCTGAGGACCCCCAGATGGAAGCCAGTGTGGGAAAAAACGCTTAAGACTGTATCCTCCAAGTAGCTAGCAAAATGCCAGATTGGAGGTGTGGCTTGAGTGATTCAGCATACCAGACATGAATGAAAAAGCCAAATAAGAGTAGAAGGCCAAGCCGGGCACCAGGCGCTCATGCCTGTAATCCTAGCTACTCAGGAGGCTGAGATCTGAGGATTGTGGTTCAAAACCAACCTGGGCAGGAAAGTCCATGAGACTCTAATCACCAATAAACCACTCAGCAAATCGGAAGAGGAGCAGTGGCTCAAGTGGTAGAGCACTAGCCTTGAGCTGAAGAGCTGAGGGACAGTGCCCAGGCCCAGAGTTCAATCCCCATGACTGACAAAAAAAAAAGAGTAGGGACTGGGAAGGTGGCTCAGCTCAGTGGTAGAGCGCCTTGCATGCATGAAGCCCTGGGTTCAATTCTTCAGCACCACATAAACAGAAAAAAAAAGCCATAAGTGTTGTTGTGGTTCAAGTGGTAGAGCCCTAGCCTTGAGCTGAAGAGCTGAGGGACAGTGCCCAGGCCCAGAGTTCAGGCCCCAGGACCGGACCAAAAAAAAAAGAAAGCCATCAGGCCCGGAGTTCAAACTCTGCTACCAATACCAGAAGAAGGAGGAGAAGGAAGAGATGAAGGAGAAAAATATAGAGGAGAAAGAAGTTACTCACTAAAACAATGTTTTGGGCCGAATTCCTAACATCAGGTCACATCTTCCTATTTAATGAGCTTTAACCTGTAGCTGATTAGTTTGTAGTAACAGTCATCTAAGATACTCTCACCTGGCTTTTTTTTTCATGCCGGTACTGGGGCTTGAACTCAGGCCCTGGGTGCTGTTCCTGAGCTTTTTCATGCATGGCTAGTGCTCTACCACTTGAGCCACAGCCTCCACTTCCAGCTTCTTAATAGTTAACTGGAGATAAAGGTCTCACAGACATTCCTGCCTATGCTGGCTTTGAACCTTGATCCTCAGATCTCAGCCTCTTAAGTAGCTAGGATTAAAGGCATGAACCAGCTCAGCTTCACCTGACATTTTAATTGAAAAGCAATAATGTTTAAGATAAAATTTTGGTGTACTGTCACTTCTAATGTCATAAAACTTCTTTCTAGCCAAAAGCAAAATAAAACCACTTCTGTGGGTTTCAGAAATCATTGAAATTTCTGGGCGCTGGTGGTTCATGCCTGTAATCCTAACTACTCAAGAGGCTGAGATCTAAGGATTGCAATTCAAAGCCAACCCTGGGCAGGAAGGTCTGTGAAACTCTTATCTCCAATTAACCACCAGAAAACCAGAAGTGGCTCAAGTGGTAGAGTGTTTGCCTTGAGCTGAAGAGCTGAGGGACAGTGTCTAGGCCCAGAGTTCTAGCCCTACAACCGACACACACAAAAAAAGAAAGAAATCACTGAAATCTATTGGTGAACGAAGAGTTTGTAAACCACTGACACTTCAGGCTGTGATACTAGTCAGCCACAAAAGGCAATTGACTCCATGATGGTTCTTCCCCTTTCCCATCAAACCAAATACTAGAGTGAGGGGGGGGTCTCCATTAGCCCACAACAGATCAACAGTCCCCTAAGTCCCCTACTTTCCCTTAGTTACAATAAAGTTTTCTTTATTTCCTCTCCACAATTCCTACCATTTATGCCCATCTCTTGTACCTAGGTCAGAAAGGAAAAGACAGTTAGACAAGTCCCAAACTTCTGCTGCATTCTATTTGGTCCATAGCATTTTTTTTTTATCAGCCATATCCTTGCCCAACTCTAGTCCCCAGGGTACCAAGAAACCAGAGCAGTAGAAGGAAGCCACAGAGCTCTTCCAGCCTACCTCTCCTCCAGCTGTACATGCATGGCCAATCCTGCAGGGGGCAGTGGCTCCCTGTTCCTAGAGGTCCAGAGTTCCCATCCCCAAGGAATCCTAATTGTCCACCTCACCTGGATAATGATTCCCTTTTCTTTATATTCCACCTGCAGAGCCTTCGAAAATGTGCACACAAAAGCCTGCAATGAGAAGCAGACACACCTAAAGTACTAGACTATGCAATCTCCCTCCATTCAAGGGCACTGAGGAGGTGCTGCTACTAGCTGCTTGGAGATGTACTCAAAGAAAACAAAGTTTCAGTTATGTGGGATGAAAATGTTCTGGAGATTTATTGTGTATGCCTTAGTGATTATAGTTATTGATAATATATTGCATACTTTAGAGTTAAGAGAGTAGATCTTAATGTTCTCACCATACCAAAAATAATTTATAAGTCTAAGGATATGATAACTACCTTGATTTAAGCATTCCACAATATATACTATACCAAAATATCATGCTATAAATTGTAAATTATTTCCCGTTTTATTTGTTAATCATACCTTAAAACTGAGGACAAACAAAGAGGCAGTAGGGGGTGGAGGGAAATGTAGGTGACATCACTCACCTTGGAAGCTGAGTAGAGAGAGTAGAGAGGCCAAGGGCAAAGGCCTACCCCTGAAGAAATGTTCAAGATGAGACCTTTCTGCCTAAAAAGCAAAGAAGCAAAGTTCCCATTGCTTCATGCTTCACTGCTTGATCCCACCTTGAGTTGAAAGAGACTGAAGGGTCGGTATGAATGCTGTCAAATGCCATCCTCTCCAGAATCTATGGCCGCTAACTGTTCTGCTTCCAATAACTGTTAATATAATTTCACTTAAGTTCAGGAGGATACTAGGCAGGGATGTCACTCAACAATTACATGACATTAAGGCTTTGTTACTGGAAACAGAGTCTCTACTATGAAAAAAAATCTCCCTGCCCAAATACAGGGGGCCACATCACTTAGGATTCAAAGATGAAGGGATGCACCCATGTTAAGGGTGACCACATGAGATCCAGGCCCCTTTGGACTCACAAAGATGACCCACAGCAGGAAAGATGTCATGGTGGAATACCATCCTGGGTAAATTTGACAGCCTACCATTTGCTAACTTAGATACCCTTCACAAGTCTCTAAAGGCATTAATTAGCAGCCTTTTTTAAAATTCAGTAACTTTAATTCTTCCTAGTTAGTTGCATGAGGGGTTGTGGTAAGGAACTTCAATTAGAACACAACACCACGTCCCTTTTTACTCCAGGGAACATGAAACTATCAAGCATTTTTTTCTAATATATACCACCTGGGAAAAACCAGTTCCTAAATGAGTGTCATAATAGGGTGATACAAGCATGGACTAATGAGGAAAGTGATAAAGATCGTTTTTAACCAGTAAATTGGAGTATTCATTCTGAAAACAAAAGCTGAAATTTATAATCACAAAGCCATGGGCTTGGACTCAGACCAATTTGCTTCTTTTATGCTCAACATGAGTTATTTTTTTAATCCAATGTATACTTAAATAACAGATCTCTTCCTCTCTCTATGTTGTGTTATACTTGATCTTCAAATATGCATGCATATTTGAGGGGCTGGCCTGGCTCAGATGTTAGTTTGTTCCATTCCACCCCACCCTCAATCTCCAAGTCCTTTCATAATAGCTTATATCACTGGTGAAAGCAAGACCTTACCTTGATTCCATGTGTTTCAGAACTATCTGTGTCATCTATGAGAGAAGGGAAACATTAAATCCTGAGTAAGAAACTAAGTAGCAATGAGCAAGGACCTCGGGGGAAGTGGTGACTAGAGAAGCTTAATCTTCTCAGGTGACCTTGAGAATTGCTGGCACCCATTAGCAGTCATTCTGAAAACATGAGAATCTGATTGGATCTCCACAGGAAATAACCTAGACAAATGGCGTACTATTGGGAGGTCTCTGGTTGTTTCCCATAAACGTCCTCTTGTGAAATGAGGTTACTTTGAAAATATGGGAATTGATGGATTGATGGCTGTAGCATCAATAAATAACAAGGTACTCTATTCTGGGTGACAGCAAAAGCAGGTCTGCCACCACACACCTCACTCATGAGCTGGAACTGTGGTCAGCAGACCTAATCAGAGTCTAGGAGAATTTTGTACACATCTCTCCATTCAGCAGTGTCAGTATGTACAACCTGGTAGTGTGTGACATAGTTCATGGACACAGCATCCATTAGGATTACAACATGGTAGAGAATCACTTTCTCCATCCCAAGCTACCACCCCTCCCTATAGAAGTTCACCCAGCCAGTTTTGCAGGCCCAAACCTATACTCAAAGGGGTTTTTTGGTTTGGTGTTTTGTTTTTGGTTTGTTTTTTGTCTGTCATGGGGCCTGAACTCTGGGCCTGGGCACTGTCCTTCAGCTCTTCAGCTCAAGGCTAGCGCTCTACCACTTGAGCCATAGCAGCACTTCTGGCTTTTTCTGCTTATGTGGTGCTGAGGAATCAAACCCAGGGCCTCATGTATGCAAGGCAAGCACTCTACCATTGAACAACCTTCCCAGCCTCAAAGAGTTTTTAATTGATTACTAAGTCACATTTTAAGAATTAAGCAATGCATGGACTAAGATGTTCTATAAAGTATAACTGACCAGAGTCAAAGTTGTCCTGGAATCAGGTTTGAGATGGAGAAGATCCAAATCGAGAAGAGGAGCAGAGGAAGCAGAGAGACCAGGACACAGCTCTGTCCACTTCTCCACATTGTCTAGGGTAGTGCAGCAGCTTTTCTATAGAGCCTATTACTGTTCTCAGCAGATTGGCCATGCCCTGGCACCTGTGACAGGGAGCCTCCAGACAATGTTTCCATTGCTAGGGGTTAGAGGAAGAGGAGCAGCAGAACTCTCTAGAAACTGCCTCTGAAACATCAGCTTTTGAGAGAGGTGAGAGAAGGATGAGATTCACTTCTCACACTTCCCTAGCTCCACCCTTATTAGGAATCTCCTCCAGGTCCTGTGGTCTGTCCTCTGCCGTTGGTCTTCAAAGTCTCCCATGCAAACTCACTAGCCCTCTATGATGAATGATCCCAAGTAGAGAGCCAACACTGGATATGGGTGGGCCCTTATTCAAATTTCTCTACATTTTAGTTCCTATCCCACCTTCGCCTGGCTCTCATCTGCCATCTCTGCCCTTGACATGAGAGAATGTGACTATTTCCAGATGGCATCTTTGAAGTAATTAAGCTATATTAGTCATGCTTCCAATCAGCAAGACTAATTAGAACACAGAATATTCAGAAATAAACCTTTAATGTCTTTTCTTTGTTACTTAGGGAATTTAGTGTCCATCAATAAATAAAACAAAAAATCAAAGCATTTCTCTGCTGAAGGAATTAGTGTTGTCAAATCCATTTGGAGAAACCCATCTGATCAAACAGCCTAAGACTGGAAACTCAATGTGTAAAATAATATGAAAGATTTTTAGTGGTAAGGCTGCCGGCAATAGTTGGACACATAAAACTTAAAACTACATTAGCTGGAAGTTTTAAAAAGCCATTGATTATTCAGCATAAAAAAGAATGTGTATACTCAATAATAGCTGAGCAGGATACTATAAAACACCAGTATGCTCACAGAAAAACAATCCAAAGTAAAATAGTTGTCAGCCCAATTTATCTACATGAAAATAATTTGGGGGGAAACTGATCAGCTCCTCTCTGTGTCTCCCCCACCACTTATGTTGGAAAATCGGTCATCCACTACGTTTAGTCCCTGAGAGACTGAATGTGCCCCTTCTCTACCACTCCTTGGAGTCCTTATTCGCTGCTGTAGTTAAACTGACTTTCCATAGTGACCACCAGCACAGTGGTGAATTTTGTGAATTCAGTATGGTTCCTAGCTATGGAACAAGCACAGGCTGAAAATCCCAAGCTCAGTCTCTAGTGTTGTACCATGGTAGAGCTAGAGGGCCCTACCAATCAGAGGACATGGAAACATTTTGTTCACACAAAGCATCTAGCTGGGTGCTGGAGGCTCAAGCCTGTAATCCTAGCTACTCAGGAGACTGAGATTTGAAGATTGCAGTTTTGGAGCCAGGCCAGGCCAGGTTAATTGGAGATTCTTGTCTCCAATTAACCACCAAAAAACTGGACATGGAGTTGTGGCTCAAATGGTAAAGTGTTAGCCTTAAACATAAAGGCTTAAGAACAGTGCACAGGCCCTGAGTTTAAGACCCAGGACTGGCACATGTGCACATACACATACACACACACACACACTTTAAAAAAAGTCAACTCATGTGGTATCATGCCATGTCCATTTTCTTAAATTACCTATCCAATGCAAATAAGACAAGATAGCTTTGAGGAAGTCATGCTGTCCATGACTAGGTACCTGAACTGAATCAGAGGACCTGAGAGCTTAAGATGCCACTACCAAGTCCAACATTCTTTTAATAATGGGTGCAGAATCAGCACCCATAAGTTTAGATAAGTTTATACTGTGTTGTCCAACTAATTAGTAACTGTGTTGAGATCAGAATTCAGCAATCTCTACTGATCTATGGCCTCACCACATGCCTAAAACCAAAGACAATCCTAACCACTAAATATACTGGTTGTATTTCTTATATGTACATGCCTATGGTCAAAGTCTAATTTATCAATTAGGTATAGTAAGAGATTAATCATGAATAATAAAGCAATTATAATAATGTGCTGTAATAAAGTTGATTTGAACATGTTCTCTTTTTGTCTCTGTCTCAGAATATAGAATTCCTCTTTTAAATTTTCCAGACTTTGGAGCTGGGAAGGTGGCTCAGTGGTAAAGTGCTTGCCTTGCATGCATGAGGCCCTGGGTTCAATTCCTCAGCCACACAAGCAGAAAAAGCAGAAGTGGTGCTGTGGCTCAAGTAGTAGAGCACTAGCCTTGAGCTGAAAAGCTGAGGGACAGTGCCCAGACCCAGAGTTCAGGACCCACGACCAACAAAAAAAATCCAGACGATGGTGGGCCACAGGACTAAAGGAGTAGAAAGAAAAAGCACAAATAAAGAGGGAGGAATAAATAAATAACCTTTAACTTCAGCTCAACAAATATTTATTGAAGAGTAAAAGTCCAGAAAGCCCAAGTCATGCCCTCTTGTCATTTTTTCCCTCCACAGGGAAGTTTCTTCTCTTTACAAAGAGAATTAAAATAAAAGAAAGGTATTAATTAAAAAAATATCCTAGGGATCCCAAATAATTTCAGCATCAGGCCTATTGTGTTCTGACATGTAACAAAACTGAATGTGAAACAGGATTTATGTAAAAGTGAGAATGAACACATCCCTGTCTTGGGGAAAACAGAAGCAATATAGCCAGGACATTTCAGTCAGGAATAGTTCAGGGTGTATGAAAGAATTCTCTTTCTCCAGCAGAAGAGACTGATGCTTCCCAGAAATTACTACATTTCATGCATTTCACATATATTGAGCACATACCTTGACTACTGAGGTGATGTTACAATGGATGAGATTCTGCAATAAATAACACATGAATCAGCTCAGTCCTCGAGAAATTGTCTTGGGAAGAGGTCAGGGTTGAACCATGAAATGAGAGAAGTTCCATCATTTACCCAGCATGCAAATTAGATTCCCAACTGATGTTCAGCAAGCATGGGCTAAAACTGGGAAAGATCTGCTATTCATTGAATGATCCTATGTGTACGCCATCTTGAATATAAGCCATTTAAGTTTTTTTTTATTTTCCATTTAAGTTTTTTTGAAGATTTAGGAAGGAATACAGTCATAATTTTTAAAGGAAGATATAGATGTCCCCAAAGTATGATGATTCAACTTTACAATAGTACAAAAACAATGTGTATACAGTAGAAGTCATACTTCAAGTTCTGAAATTTGAGTCTTTTTCAGTTAGTGACAGGCTGTATAATAGTCTTTTGCAATGCTGGACAGTAAAAGCATCTCAGTCAGTCATATTATCCTAAGGGAAACCATCAGTTCTCTATAGTGTGCTACAGTGCTCTGGAGCTCATGTGTAGTACACACATTTCTTTTCCACTTAAGATGAACTTATTGGTAGGAGCCCATCATAAGTCAAGGAGCATCTGTATTCACTTTCCAGGAAGAGGAAGAAGGGTTAGCTCATGTGTATGTAAGAAACCACAGCATAAGGAATAGAAGAGGTGGATGGTTGACTAATACAAGATATAGGTCTTGGTTTAGAAACAAGTATGAAGAAATGACTAGAATCATCCAAATAAAAAGAGAGGAAAAGAGGGTCACCCAGAGATAAACACAAATACAGGAATAAAGAGAAACAATAACATCATTTGCTGAAAGAGAAACACAAACTTGCTTCAGAAGCAGGGTAGAAAATAAAGACCACAGGGATAGATATATATTAAAAGAAGAGTCTGGGGAGGTTGTGCAGTAATGTCCCAGCCATCTGGCAGCAGATTCAGGGTTTAAATAGAACCATAGGAACATATGCAGCATTGAGGATCACCAGCCTGTTTAGATTGGTGTAACCATAACTTCAAAAATCAGGACTCTGGGAGAGTCCATAAATAGTGTCTTCAAGAAGTGTAAAATGAATTAAAATGTAATCTATTCTAGCTTACTAGACCTCCAAAACTTCTAACCACAGAATCTGTGTTGTATGTAATCTCAGCATATTCTGCATTCTCAGACTCAATGAACTGTGGACCAAAAATGTTCACAAAGGAGCTAGAAGCATGGCTGAAGTGGTTACAGCACCAGTCTGAGGAAGCAAGCCTCTTGAATATGAGGTTCTGAGTTCAAACCCCAGTATCATAAAAAATGTTCAAAAATTGTATATTATACTGATTATACATAGACTTGTTTTTTATGTCATTTTTCCTTAAACTATATAACAGCTATTTATGAGGTCTTTACATTGTGTTAGGAACTGTAGGTCATCTAGAGAAGGTTTTAATTATCCAGGTGCCATGTGTAGGATCTATATAAGTATTATGCCATTTGTATAAGGGATTCGAGCATCTGTGGATTTAGGTATCTAACGAGGTTAGTACCTCTGGAACACTAGAGATAGCTGTATATCCCTCACACTGAAAGTTAAATAAAGTTTATTACATGGGAGCACAGACAAGCAAAAGGGTTGGCTTGCTTCTGTATTCACTGTAGCTATGAATCTGTGTGGGTAGAATTACCCTCTTATAAAGCAGAATGCATTCAGAGTTTCAAAATAGCAGGACAATGAGAAAATTAATGTTGAAGTGCAGAGAAGGGAAAATATGTCTTTTTCCAAGTGATGGTCATGAAAAGATGTACCCCTAACTGTGTATCAAGAACTAAGGTGAACAAGTTTACATTGTTGGTGGGAGTATAAACTTGTTCAACCACTTTGGAAAGTAGTATGGAAGTTCCTCAAAAGACTCCACATAGAGCTCCCCTATGACCCAGCAATCCCACTATTGGGAATTTACCCAAATGTTCACAAACAAGACCACACTAAAGCTACCAGCATGAATATGTTTATTGCAGCCTTATATTACCATAGCTAAGATATGGAACCAACCCAGATGCCCTTCAGTAGATGAATGGATCAAGAAGAAAATGTGGTATATATACACAATGGAATTCTATGCCTCCATCAGAAAGAATGACATTGCCCCATTTGTTAGGAAATGGAAAGACTTGGAAAAAAATGATATTAAGTGAAGTAATCCAGACCTAAAGAAACATAGGTCCCATGGTTTCCCTTATTTGCAATAACTAGTATATGTCTGAGCCAGAAGAAAAGGTCAGATAAATTGATGTTAGGGAAATGAACCCTAAGACATGTATTTTTTCTTTCATGCAATTGTTTCTAACATATTTGTAAGATGATTTCTTTGTTGCTTTGCATGTCCCTCCCCCACGGTATAACCCCTGCTTTCACTGTATTTGATGTTGTTATAATTTGTGGAGGGGAAGGGAAAAAACAAATCGTTTAAATAGGGATACAGGTGGACCCATTGCAACAGTGAGATGTACAAGTCATTATGTCGAAAACGAACTTTACAACTTTGGTGGCGGGGCGGGGTGGGGGGGAGGAGTGTTGGGTGAAGGGGCTGGGGAGGATGGGATGGGAAGGGGAAACAAAGGAGCTACAATGCTTGATAAGAAATGTACTCATTATCTTGCCCATGTAATTGTAACTCCTCTATACAGTATTTTCACAAAAAAAAAAAAAAAAAAGGAATCTCGCTTTTGGTAGTAGAGGTGTGGCTCTAGTGGTAGAGTGCCAGTCTTGAGCAAAAAAGCCAAGAAAGACCTTTAGGCCTGAGTTCAAGCCCAGTACTGGCACTTACATACAAAGAGACAGACAGAGAGACAGAGAGAGAAGTAAATTAAGAAATCATCTCACTTTAATATTAGAAAAAAAGCCAGAAGTGGTGTGGCTCAAGTGGTAGGTCCTTAGGCTTGAGAGAAAAAAGAAGCTCAGGGATAGCACCCAGGCCCTGAGTTCAAGCCCTAAAAAAATGAAGAAAGAAAGAAAAAGAAAATATACTTTGGAAGGTTGTTTAACACATACAAAATCATGTATAATTTTTAATATAGTAGAGCCTCTAGAGCTTTAATAATTTAATTTGATGCTATGGATTAAAAATCAGTCATAGATCCAATGGCTCAAGCCTATAATCCTAGCTCCTCAGGCAGTTAAGATCTGAGGATTGAGGTTCAAAGCCAGCCTGGGAAGGAAAGTCTAAGAGATGCTGATCTCCAACTAATCACCAAAAAACCAAATTGGAGCTGTTCCTCTATTGGTAAAGTGTTAGACTTGAGCAAAAAAGCTGAAGGAGAGCACCCAGGCCTTGAGTTCAAGCCCAGGGCTGGCACCAAAACCCTCCCCCCAAATCGGGTTAAATCTAAGCTACCATGAGATAGTTAAATGTTGCAAAGATAATCAGATCACTGATACATTACAACAGACTATGCATATTAAAATCTACTTACCTAAAATGCCAATTTCTAAACCTTCAAGTTTTTCTTTAATATACTCATAGATGTCATCTTTGGTAAAGTCTGCTTGTATAAGCTTCACCTTGCTTCTTGTAGTCCACTCTGCATTCAAGACAACATAATACATTTTTTGTTAATAAACAGAGGTACAAAACCCCTGCTGCTACTGCCACCATGAGGTTTCTCAGATGCTTCTCTACTATCTACACAGAGTATCAAGAAAACCACTGACGCATCAATTAGAAATAAGAAAACACTGGCTTGGAATGTGGCTTAGTGTTAGAGTGCTTGCCTAGCATGCATGAAGCCCTGGGTTCGATTCTTCAGCATGACATACACAGAAAAAGCTGGAAGTGGCACTGTGGCTCATTTGGTAGAGTGTTAGCCTTGAGCATAGAAAGGCTCAAGGACAGTGCCCAGGCCCTGAGTTCAAGATCCAGGATGGCAAAAAAAGAGAAAAGAAATAAGAAAACACCCTAGATAAATGATGGGAGATGCTAAAAGATTCTTGAGAGTTTATTTTTAACATTTTTTTAAAAGTTACTGTAGGTACAAGTACATGCATTGAAATAGACTACTGTCCATACAGCACACATTTGCATCCCTGGGAAATTGTTGGGCCAGTTCTACAGATACACCAACCCTTGTTATGTATCTAGCACTAAGCATTTATATATATATATATATATATATATACATTTATATAATATAAATGCTTATATATAATTCTATTTTAAATATAAATATATATATTTTTTAACCCTCTTCCAATCTTGTACAGTAGCTATCACTATTATTATTATTATTATATTGTACCTGGACACTGTCTCTTAGTGTTTCTGCTCAAGGCTGATGCTCTACCACTCAAGCCACAACTCCATTTTCAGATTTTTGCTGGTTAATTGGAAATAAGAGTCTCAAAGACTTTTCTACCAGGGCTACCTTTGAAACACAAAATTCAGATTTCAGCCTCCTGAGTAGCTAGGATTGCAGGCATGGGACATTAGTATCTAGCTGAGTAGATATCAACACTCCCATTTCCAGAGCAGAGAACTAAGACTTGAGAAGCTAGCATGTCCCAGGGCCACCATAGCCCCTTCCCACTCCAAGTTCGGTGTGCTTTCTACACGGTTCAGCACTATCACGCCTGTGCAGAAGTTTTCAGGCAGACCAAAAAACTACAGGTCCTGTTCATCAATTTCTTAGTGAACTGCTTTAGTATTAGAGTTAGAACTAATATTTCTGGATACAACAACCTGAGATATAGTTTGTGAGTAAGGGTTTTTGTTTTTAATTAAAAAAAGATACTGCTTTCTTTTCAAAAGGATGATAAACAGGGCATTTTAGCATTATGAGCAAGATACTCAAGAATGCCCTGGTCCTAATCAAAGTTACTTCTGACATTCAGATTTAGAACAAAAGGTGAATTCATCTTCTCAAGGACACTGAGCCTCTGAGGGATGACTCCAGGGCCCCATACCTCTCCGGCTCATCTCCGATCCCAAGTCTGCCCCCAAAGAAAGAAGGCTGACTCCAGACAAAGCCAGCATTTTAACAAGCTTTCCTTCAGAATTGAAAACTCATCCTGTTTGAGTTGAAAAGTTTATTTCTTAAATTAGTAATCATTACATTTCAAATATTCCAAAAGAAGTAATATAGTCAGTCTTAACTAAGAGCACTTCCAAGCAAATTATCATAATAAAACATTATGATATATAGAGTTGTATAGTATGTACCCTTTGCAACCATTCATTGCAGACCTGGATCAGATCTTTCTTTGAAATCTGATGTCCATCAGTAAGCAACGTCTCTCAACCTCCTTAAAGGAAGAGATCATGGGCACAGGCATATGAAGATCCTGCTGCCAGAGGGAATGCTGACTCTAAATGTGAAAGCACCGGATCCAAAAAGAAAATAGGCCTTCTTCATGCCTGTTCCCTCCACTTCCTGCTTTACCTGGTACAGAATCTAGGGTGGGCTAAAGCCTGTATCTTAATTCTTGCCCTTGTCACTGGACTCCCTTTGGAACAGATGGCAGCCTAGGTTCCGGACAACAGTTTGGAATTTGCAGGCAGACTTAGCTGATGAGCTCCACGAACACTTCTACTGCTGGGGCAGGGAGGGGTGTCACTCACCAATCTCTCTGGCAATGCTCTGTAGTTTTCCCATCGTCCGGCTGATAAGCACAAGGTTGAGTCCATGTTTTGCCAGCTAGAGTGGAAGTGGGAAAACCAAACACAGGAAGAGGCTGAGCAGATAAGGAAACCTTGAGCAAAAAAAAAAAAAAAAAAAAAAAGGCCAAGCAAGATCCCAAGTTCAAGGGTCTCTGGCTCATGCACTTTGCAGCAGGGTGAGGCATTTTCTTTTCCTAGACTTAAATCGGTAGAATAGAGCAAAGTTTCTGAGCTATGAGCAAAGCAACCACAGCAGGCCAATCTAAAAGTACTGTAAACATTTTTTTCAGGAGGCTGAGATCTAAGGATCACGGTTCAAAGCCAGCCCAGGAAAAAAAGTCCATGAGACTCTTATTTCTAATTAACCAGCAAAGATCCAGCAATGGAACTTTGGCTCAAGTGGTAGAGCACCAGCCTTGAGTAAAAAAAGATAAAGGACAGTGTCCAGACCCTGAGTTCAAGTACTGGTATGCATAAGTGTGTGTGTGCATGTGTATGTGTGTGTGCATGCGCACGCACACACACACACACACACACACAATTGTTTTTCTTTTTGCTTTCTTTTTGGTACTCAGGTTTGAAATCAGGACCTCGCAATTGCTATCATTTAAGCATGTTCCTAATCCCTTTCCTTTTAGTTTGTGGTTCCAGGGTCTGGGCTCTAACCATACGATCCTGTCTCTGCCTCCTGAATAGCTGGGATTACAAGTGTGCACCACCACAACCAGCTCAATGCACAAGAGACTAGTTTTTCCTAGTGCAGACCCACAATCTAAAAGCACTTTTTAAATCTAAAGCCCAAGCAAGAGGGCTGTTGTGTCCTAGAACTCAAAATATTGGAGGTGAAGAAAAGAGGAAAAAACATAGATGTGTTGACTTTGTCACTATTCTTTACATGATAGAGATTTATTTAATAGAGTTACACCGTATTAGGTATTATAACTAACCAAGACATGTTTTGAAATGTACCAGAGGATGTGAGCAGATCATGGGCAGAAAGCACTATGCCATTTTGTACCAAGGACTTAGGCATCCAAAGAAATTTGGAGGGATGCCCCTCCCCCATCCCAAGAAACAGCTCTAGTAAGCATCAGTGTCTATTGTATGTGCTTTCAAGAAAAGAGTATGCTATGACTATCTATCTATCTATCTATCTATCTATCTATCTATCTATCTATCTATCTATCTATCTACCTACCTACCTACCTACCTATCTATCTACCTATCTATCTAATACTGGAGCTTGAACTCAAGGTCCAGGCATTTTCCTTTAGCAAGCCAAAAGGGCTAGGGGCAGAGCATCTACGTAGCAAGTTCAAGTCCCAGTTTTCAAATCCCAGTTCTACCACAAAGAAAAAAAAAACAATACCAAGAGAAAAAAATGTCCCCATAGTCCTGTCTCCTCAACCAGCTACATTCACTTCCTCTGTGTGTTAGTGATCCTTCCCTAATTTCCTCTCTGCATCTGTGGGCATACATGGTACAGAGAGAAATGTTTCTTTTGTAGAGTTTGTTTCTTTTTTATCACATATAATTGTGACTTTAAGTATTGCCTTACAACATTCTTTTTAATTTCATGATATCTTATCTCGAAGAATTGTCTGTCTTCTCCAGCACAGGATAGAGAACCACTTGGCTTTTTAAAAAATTGCTGATAGTGTTCTGTAGCTCACCTATAGGTTTTTAAAAAATTTTCCCATAAGCCTTCTAAATAAGTCTTTGGATAGAAGAATACATGACTTCTACTTGTTTGTTTGTTATATTGCAGTACACCAAATGAATATTTTGTTGTTGTTGGTGGTGGTGGTCATGGGTCTTGAACTCTGGGCCTGACCGTTGTCCCTCAGCTCTTCAGCTCAAGGCGAGCACTCTACCACTTGAGCTACAACACCACTTCCGGTTTTCTGGCAGTTTATTGGAGATAAGAGTTTCACGGACTTTCCTGATCAGGATGGCTTTGAACTACAGTCCTCAGATCTCAGCCTCCTGAGTAGCTAGGATTACAGGTGTGAGCCACCAGTGCCCGGCTCAAACCAATATTTTCTAGCTCAATTCCATTTGAACACTAACATGGGGTATGTCAAGGGTCAAGGGGTGGTAGGAGCATCTTTTGTTTTCATATCTGGTCTTAGTCCCTAATCCCTGACACAAGAGTTTCTAACATCCTTGGAATCTTCTGACCCTAGGGAGCTTCAGGATGAGGCCAAGCAGGTGATGAGAGAGTAGAAACTTCCAGCCCCATCCTCTGAAGGGGAGAGGGACACAGAATGAGAGTCAGTCACCAGACTCAGAGACTGAGGCATCCTTAGGATACAAGAGTTGTATGGCCCACTCTTTCTCCTCCTTCTCACTCTCTACTATCCTCCTGGAGGGTTAACACACCACTTTTAGTCACCACACAAGAAGAAATGCTAGGCAAGGAAAGACAAAACACCACAGTATGTAGTTGGACACACACACACACACACACACACACACACACACACACACTGCCTCTATTGCAGGTCCTAGCTAGGAGAGGAAGAAGATATATCTTTCATCAGTGTTCAGCAATTTGATGATTACAACTGATTGGACAAAAGGCACCATGGAAAGGAAACTATATTTATACCTTAGAAGTGACCATAAGACCTTGTTTCCACCTAAGAGGTGTCCATGACTTGACAAAACCCAAGGTGAAAAAGGGGTAGCCAGAATGATTGATTATGCCTCAGGAGCAGGTGAGTTGTGCTACTTTATGATGTTGGTTATGACACTGGCTATATGTTACAACTTTGCTTCTGAAAGACATGACAATCTCCCACAATGAGGATAATTTGCCAATCACCTGTATTTTGATTAGCTCCTGCTTTCAATCTTCTAACACTATATGGAATTGGCTCAATACTAATAGTCTGAATTGTATCAACATGAATATTCATTATTTGTTATATAGAATTATTTTTATCTGGCATTAATATTGCTTCTACTCTTTTTTGTTGCTTGTGTTTTCTGAGTATATGAGTTTTTTCACTCTCTGTATCTCTGTCTCTCTGTTTCTGTCTTTCTGTCTCTGTCTTCTTGTCTGTGTGTGTGTGTGTGTGTGTGTGTGTGTGTGTGTGTGTGTGTGACTTTTCACTGCTAGGGATCAAATCTAGTGCCTGGTACCCACCTTGCATTCAGAACAACCTCTTCCATACAGTGACCAAGGATCTAGGTTATTTTCCTAGAGCCAGAAATAGGATGAGACAAGTGAAGAATCCAGGTAGATAATTTAAGGAGAGACTCATTTTGGATTTCATGGACCCTCTGCCTGCCTCACCTTACTCCTACCCCCTTTTTGTCCATCTAGTAGCTCTACCCTTTGACATAAAGGTCTCATAGTTTTATATTATGTAATTGAGCACTGAATTTGATTATAGTACAGTGAAAGCAAATTCATGTCATTTTTAAATGAAATACGTTACAAGAATGGTTAAATTTTCATCCAAAGAGAGAAAGACAAGTACTACATTGGACTTAGTAAATGTCCAAGTTATTTATTCATAAGGAGAAAAAGTACACAAAATAATAAATGTTTCTTAGGAATAGATACAGACCGAAAAATACTTCAAACTTGAGAAGAAAGAGCCTGAAAAGGGGGATGAATATGAAATAAACCAATATGAGGCAATGGATAGGTAGTAATGACTGGTTCTGATTAACAATTAAGATGAAAGAGGAAGAGAAGAATGGAATGAAGCATGGAAGAAAATAGAAAAACTTAGAATATGAACTGCCTCGGTAGGCCTCCATGTACATTTAGATGGAGTGGTTATGAGCTATGTGTCCCTCCCTGACATCTGCTATGTACACATGTACGTGTACATGTTTGTCTGTACATATTGTACTAGGTTTGAATGTAGGGCCTTGTGCTTGCCAGGCAAGTGCTCTATTGCTGAGTTATGGTACCAACCTCTACTTTCTGTTTAAGCTAATTTAAATCAGTTCTAAGCTTTTGCAAGACTCTGGCTACTAAATCTAGTTTTCTTGTCTATAAAATTTTTTAGCTGCCTTTAGCCATTTTATTTTGTATTTATGTGTTAATTATGATACTTGGATTTGAACTCTGGGTCTCACACTTGCTTAGCTTACCTGCTTGCCTGGTGCTCTACCACTTAAGTTGTGCCTCCATGACTGGTTATTTTAGAGATAAACTCTTGAGGACTTTTCTACTTGGGCTAGCTTTGAACCTTCATCTTATGCATCTCAGCTTCCTGAGTAGCTACAGCCATGAGCTACCAGCACTTGGCATTTCAGTTTACATTTTAGTTAAGGCTACCTCTAACCTTAGCAAACATCCTGAGAGAGAGTTTTATATTTTGATATCAAATGGTTAAATACCATTTCAAGCTTAGAAATAAATAAAAGGATGATTATTCTTTTAAAAAATTAATATCATCCTAGAATATTTCCTAATGTCTGCTTGATGTTATCTGATGTCCTTGGGCAGTAAGCTTTGTTCTAATAGAGAAGTTCTCAGCTGATGAAGGTGCAGATAGCTCAGAACCCGCAAGGTTAGAAACACAAGGAGCTGATTTCATAATGTCATGGAGAATCCATCCAGAGGTGCAAGGTCATCACTCTGCAGAAAGGTAGCTAGGATTGAAGGTGGTGCTAGTTTTTTGCTCTTGTCTCCCAATGACAAGTTATTACTTTTCAATGGCCCCTTGTGTCTACTTGAGTTTTTTCACTACTAGGTTGAGTAAAACACATATTTGTGTTTTAAAACTATGTTTTTACAACATTGAAGGAAGAATACTAGACTATCCTTTGAGCTATCTGGCTAAATAGCCACAATTCCAACCTCATCCACAATCCTATAAATTTTCAGAACCGAATATGTAACTATGCCCTATTCAAAAACATTGAAGAAACTAGTTGTAGAGACTTACACCTCTAACCCTAGCTATTAAGGAATCTGAGATCTAAGTATCACAGTTTAAAGTCAATTTGAATAGAGAAGTCCATGACACTCTTAGCTCCAATTAACCACCAAAAAGGCAAAACTGGAGGTAT